TTATCTGTTTATATGTAGGGTTCCTGTATTTACTCATACCTGGATCTTATGAAAAATACAAAACATCGAACCAGCTTAACTAGATTTAGAATTTCAGCTCATTCACTTCCAATTGAAAAGTTGAGATATCAAGGAATACCTCCAGTAGAAAGAATTTGTACACTATGTGATCTAGGGGCTGTTGGCAGTGAAACTCATGCATTCATGAACTGTGAAAATATTGAAATTAAGAATAGTCGTTTAGAATTTTTAAATATGGTTTCGGTTTATGATGAAAAAATTCAAGAATTATCCAAGGATAACTCACTTAAAAAATTATTTACCTCAAATGATAGTTTCATTGTTAACAGTCTCGGAAAATTTGTTCATCAAATTATAATGTCTATTGTCTAACAATATCTAAATTTTACTTTTGTTTCTTATTACATTTACTACTAATATTTTATATTTCTTTGCTTACTTATTGTTTTATTTGCTATTGATGTTTGTTACTTGTTGTTGTATGTTTATTGACCATAGATAATGTAATTCAATGCATTATTTCGTGCCAAATAAAATATACTATACTATACTTTAACAGACAGATAGTTAGCACACTGAATTTGAAAGGACACATCTCTATAATTCTGTGAATGGTACTTCGGAAAGGTGATTACCTTTCTCTTGAGAATCACCAGCCTAAATACAGTTGTATCCTGACTACCAGGTCCCTTATCCCCAAATTTGGTATAACATCACATAAAAATAAATAAACCGCCCACTCAATTATTTTACTTATTATTCTGTAATAGTATAAGTAGATGACAGACATGGCAAAACATCGGGGAAAATAAGACTTGAAAATTCTTATTTATTATTTGTTACCAGCAGTTTTGGTCATGGTGTCGTATAAGCTGATCACTGGTTCATGAATTTGAAACGTGACCCTAACAAGGACATATGATTATTAAATGAATGCCTGGCCTCACCTGTTGGGATACCGAGTTGTTTACTTCCCCTGCCAAAGCCCTTTATCACTGTACCACTACAGAACACAGGTAATGGCATCTTCATATTCGTACAGTAGAGCGAGAGAAGCTGCTTCACGGTACGTACGGGGAAGAACCTATGTAACCGACTGCCGATCATCCCCTTTAACCACGTTTTCTATAACCGATTTTAAATGTCAAAGGTCGTCCATTGTCCTCCTAAGCGTTTGTGAAGTTTTTAAATGCCAAAGGTTATCCGAACCAGCCCCCCTAGCTTACAATCGATTAGCATAATGATTGCTTTTGACATTATTGTTCTACAGTTATTATTGTTAGTCGTGATACCCGAACTCTAACTTCTATCAGGGTCAAATTGTGCAAATTAAGTACATTATGTAAAACAGTATCGAAAATTCAACATAAGTGAAGCAATAACAAATTAAAACATTCGAGCATATTACCGGTGTCACCGTAGTTGACGCTGTTTAGAAAATAATACCCTCTTCTGGCTCAAAACTAGCACACATAAACTTGAACAAAAATACGGTATTCTCTGATCGTGGCCCGGAAGTTATTTGACTGTCAATGATTAATATGCTGAAGTGAAGACAGCAGTCTAGATCAGTAGATAACTTGAACTTACAGCCTGCCTACTCTGGTGGTCTGCGTATCGTGTAAAATGCAACTTATAAAAGGTTATGTGGCAATTTGTCGTCTGCAATCCAGACAACGACTGCACTATCATTTGTTGACAACAAAACCAGTACGACATTTCTCAACGGAGGTAAACACTAAGAAAGGTCGATTTTGGGCTGCTGTGACCGGTTTTGTATTGGGGTCTTCAATTGGAACGCTTGCATTTTTCAGAAACGTTGTAAACTGTCCCGAGAATATCAGTGTGAATTGTGAACCAACAGTCGACGGCAGAAAAAACAGCCAGCGTACGGATTCACGCTGTAGATCATTCAGGGACACGGATCTAAACTCACTGGATGAAGCAAAGAAGAAAGCAAGATATGTGCTATTACGAAAAAAAGTATGTTAATAACTTAATCGATTCTGTCATGAATGTTTACGTTTTTACATCCACGATTTACTCTTGAAATCTGTCTTTCGCCAACCCCACCTTAGTCTACCCTAACATAATGGTTTGGTCCATAAATAGCATGACATCATCATTTATTTTCGCTGAAAAGGCTTTTTGGGCGTTTTGTATGGAATTTATTTTCACTGATTTTGGATGAGTATTATGTGAAATATAGGAAAAAAAGTATATTTGCTGGATTTTATTTTCACTGAATCATCCCTTCAGCGAAAATAGCGAAAATAAATTCCAAGCGAAAATAAAGTATTCTACAGTATACAAAACCCACAAACAATGGCACAGAGACTGACCTCTTTCCATCAATGCTTGTAAACAATAACTTCTGTGCAAGGTTAGACTACCTCCGTGGTTAGACAGACGTGGATCCTGCTGACAGTGCGAGTCACTCCAACCATAGTACCTTCCATGCTCCACCTTAGGCCAAATAAAAAAAATTGTGGTTCCTATATTTACTATAACATGCTTTTCAAAATGTTTAAATAAACAATCAAGACATATAATTCACATAATAGTCACCTCAAATAGCAAATATAAACAACAGTCCTTCACATTCAATTACAATCACATGCAGTATTTCATTCACGATTGTTCACAAGTTCGTTTTTTTTTAAATTCTTGTGTTTTCAACACTAACGTCTTGCAGTCAAATATGGAACAATTGGCCTGTCAAAAAACCTGTGACATTTGAAAAACGACAGTATATTCATGGAACACATGCAACGGAAATCCACAATCTCCACAACCTGAAGAGAGCGTAATCGTATGTGGGGGAGGGGCATCCTGGTTTTATTTTTGTTCTTCTTCACATTTTCAATAAGTAACCGATTCAATAAATTTAGAGCCATATCTGAAATGGAAAGTGAACTGAATGTAAGATACCGGTAGTAATGCACTCGACCACAAGTGCCCCTGTACTATGTATTACCTATTGAAAGTGGGAATAAATTTCATTGCACTAAAGTTTTGTCCCAGCACAAGTTTCAGGTACTAAAAAAACAAAAATCAAAATTTATGGAGAACTGGTTATTTTCTAAATTTTCAAAATAACGATGGCACAAGGAAACTTCTCTGTTCTATCAAAAGACAGACTCTTCTTTTGTCACTGTTCTAGTCCCTGCTCACACTCTTTGACTATTATCATCCAATTTTTCATCATGCCGTGAATTGAAATTTTGTGATTTCAAAGACATATTTTAAATAAAGTGTATATAACAAATTCATACCTTCATAAAATAAATGTTAATGATTTTCAAATAAATTCTCAGAAATGTAATTCAGTTGTTTAACATTGATTCTCAAGCCCCAAGGAAATCACACTCTTGTTAGTGTTGAATGAGTAACAACGTATAGCTGGCCAGTATTAAACCTACTTTAGTTGCGTCTGTTAAAGATTTTCAAAATATAAATATCTCAATCATGCATCAAAATGACTTCCACGCTTTATATTAATAATAACTTTATTACGCAACTCAACCATCTGTGGGTTTAGTAAGGTGAAAAATGACTACAAAAGACAAATAAAATAACTAAAAAAACTAAAACACTAAAATTAAAATACACTGAAATGGTATTACCGGTATGTGCAGACATACAACATGAAACCAACAGAAAATACACTAGATGTTAATGATCACAGATAAACATTATAACAATCATAATATGAAAAATGAAATAAAAATTATGGAACACAATGTCTGTCAAAGTAGAATAGAATGAATGTTCAAACTTACCTTTATATAGCCTTTTTTCATGTACACCTTGACTTCATCTGTAGATTCATGAACTTATAGAATAATTTGCTCAGAAACTTGCAGAAATAAATAGTGTGTAAACCACAGGTCACGCACTATATGCACAAGCACACAAACAGTAAACCCACAAATGCTATCAAGTGTTATGGAGTTCCAAATCATCAGTGCCCTTAGTACCGTATACTGTAGGTTGTACATGTTCTTTGAAGTGAAATATTGTTTAATTACCTAATTTGAGGATCAGTTTCCTGTTTCTGTGTTCAGTAACATGTCTCTGTGTTCTCTAGTTTCTTTGATTACATTTTTTAATCTTTTATATCTGTTTTATTCCTTTTTATTTATTTTATACCAATCTCAAATTCTAGGATGAATTTGGTATCCCTGGTTTATCAGTAGCCGTAACGATTGATGGCAAGACAGTCTGGGCTGAAGGTAAAATGTATACCATATTTAATCTACAGAAGTACATATAGTTATATGAATGACAGACTACTGTAGAATAATTAAATTAACATTCAATTATGATTTGAGCAATGGAACAGTGGTAAGCCTCGTTCACCTCGTACTAATAAACCATTTATTTTCACTGACAGTTAATTAGATTATTTTGATCTTTTGAGCATATTCACTGGGTTTTAAGTTCACGAATTTGCCAGGGAAACAATGAGTTCATTTGTTATTTTACACATGCACACTAATTTGATACAGTGAATTTTACTTGTCAGTGAAAAAAAACAAAATTTGAACACAGTGAATAATTAATGCACTTACAGTAGAAGGAAGGTTGTGGGCTCGATTCCTAGAGTCAACTACTCATGTATGTTCAAATTTGTTGTTTTCAGCCTAGCCATTTCAGCTTACATCATCAAGCCACTGTGGATTGCTTGTAAAACTGCATATCAACAAATCCCACATGAGATATGAAACAAAGTAAAAACATATTCAGGGATTTTTTTAAACAAAGAAACAGGGGCGCAGCGCCCTCATGCCATGGCCATGCGCCCCCTTACCCTGGGGAGTAGCTCCTCTGGCAACCATAAAATTGTGATTGATCAGGGGATCTCATGTGGCTACAGTCTTCAACTGTGACCTGTCTGATAGTAGTTTTGGCCCCAAGGAAGTCATAGAATGCTCTATTTTAACTTAGAGTTATCAATAACACCACACCCTAGTAGGAAGAACCCTATCTCCACCACTTGGTGGCACTGCTGAATTGCGGTGCTCCCTCTTGCAGTTTTTTTCTAGAAAAATCCCTGATATTTAATAATTGCTGTATCTGACATGCCAGGAACAATTGCTTCATGTATAAGAAATGATATATTTTTGATAGGACTAAAACATTTCAAAAATGATTTCTGAAACTTGTTTGTGACTTGTCTGAAAACAGTTTTAAAACAAAACATAAGGTTGTTAATGTACGTAAGCTGTTTCTAGCAATAGATTATGTTTGGGACATGTTTACTTCGAAGACTCCTCTCATACTGTACTGTAGTTAAAATGTCCGTTGTATGACATACAAGTCCTTAACCATCATTTTATAACAAAGTCGACCGATTAAATAAGAGCCTACATTATCACATTCCTTATTTCAAAAGTGTTGAATTGTTGATCAAGACTCAAATCATCTATTTATTTTTACCCAGTACGAAATATTTTTTCATGATTATCAAGAAAAATGTTTTAATTCAAACAAATTTACCCATTTGTCAACTGGATTCATATCTGAAGGAAAACAGGTTGTCCTCATTGTAGTTGTCTTTCCTATTGTCAACCTTTTGCTGTTGTATACAAAGATTGCCATCATTAATTTCACTGATAGTTTCAACTTGATGGTATCAAAGATGAAGGGAAAATTATAAATGTCTGTCCTTGTCATCTGCGTTGGTGTAAACTATTTCTTGTGGTTACAATAACTCAAACATTTTTTATCTGATCATCTTCAAACTTCATAATCAATCACAATAAAATGTCAACTAAGTCTAATTTGGTGTAACTATACTATAATTTTCAAGATATGGGTTCAAATTTGAATAAATAAAACATTTGTTAGATATAGAAGTCAAATCACAGAATGAGGACATTTTTTATACTGCTTATCATGAGAACCAGATGTTAGTATTGTTGCTCTCCAAGATCTGTTAATTACTGTAAAATACTTTATTTTCTCTTGAAATTTATTTTTGCTATTTTCACTGAAGGAATGAGTCAGTGAAAATAAGATCCAGCGATTATACCTATTTTCCTATATTTAACATTCTACTCACTAAAATTCAGGGAGAGTAAATTTTATTCAAAACACCCCAAAAAACTGAATTCTTGCTAAAATAAAGTACTGTAAAATGACTAATTTTCACTGGGTTTAAATTTCGCTGATTTACTATTTCAGGCATATTCAGTGGGTTTTAAATTCACGGTTTTATCATTTAGAATATGTGTTCTATGCTCAATTTTATATATTCATTGGGTTTTATTTTAGCGCTTTTTCCAGTCAGCGAAATAAGCAAAATTAAAACCCAGTGAATAATTAATCCCTTTTACAGGACTGTATTTTGCAGTAGATCAGTAATCTGATATGTTATTTACATTATGTTTTTATTCTTACTGCTGACAGGGCTTGGTTTTTCTGATGTAGAAAATCATGTGAAATGTCACGACAAGACTGTCATGAGAATTGCTAGTATTAGCAAACCGTTGACTATGGTTGCCGTGGCAAAACTTTGGGAAGAAGGCAAACTAGATTTAGATCAACCTGTCCAGAAATATGTACCTAGCTTTCCTGAAAAAACATTTAACAATGAAAAGGTAAGGATTATTTCTAACGTAAAACTGATAGTCGTTGTGAATCTTTCATGATGACCTGTGATGTAGGTATGTGCATTACAACGGATGACAGAGAAAACGCAGATAAAAATGTAATTCATTTCTCAGTATGCAAAATCATATTTAACTAGTTTACATAATGTGACCATGACACAGAATAGTCAATAATTTCTGCTTGTGTTATCTTTCTAATTTGCATATACCCTGGGGAATGTCTAGCAAATCAGTATATTCTTTTATTAACTATGCATATTCACTGGGTTTTAATTTAGTACACATTGATATCAGCAAAATAAGCAAATATAAAACCCAGCGATTAATTAAGTCTTATGCAGTTTACAGCTGGCAAACAGTGTAAATAATTGCCTAGTAAGTGTTCTGAAGTAATGGAATCATCAGCCCACCATTCTATAGTACAGCAATAATAAATGTACACAGATTAGAAAGAACTGAGTGAAATGCATCACTGATGTAGCATGTGTAGAATGAGGGGAAGACACCAACTACAAAATTACCTGAAATCTAAATGATTGTGCATTACAATATGTCTAAGTATGTGATGGCTATTTAAAACATAAACATAGATGGGGGGTGTGGATTTGTATTATTTAGATTTTGTTTACATCAGACAAATAACAGTTTTTTTGACACATAATCTACTATGTCACAGGATGGAAAGTAGATGTAGCTAGACATCCGAAGGTTGAGAAGTAGATGTAGCTAGACATCCGGAGGTTGAGAAGTAGATGTTACAGTAGCTAGACATCCGGAGGTTGAGAAGTAGATGTAGCTAGACATCCCCAGGTTGAGAAGTAGATGTAACTAGACATCCCCAGGTTGAGAAGTAGATGTAGCTAGACATCCCCAGGTTGAAAAGTAGATGTAGCTAGACATCCCGAGGTTGAGAAGTAGATATAGCTAGACATCCCCAGGTTGAGAAGTAGATGTTACAG